TAAAACGGAAAACGAAACGGAATACGGAAAACGGAAAACGGATTTTTATATGTTCGCCAGGAAAAACACCCATTTTTTAAAGATTGCGAGCATAGAATAGGACATCCGGATGATTGATTAAGTCACGCTGAAGGTGCACCTGCCACCGGGCTGATAACATAATAAATGACTAAGTTTATATATAGACCACATAGACAACATATGTATTTGCATCAACATACGTGTGATGATGAATGTCGAGCCAAACACCTAGCTGCCTATAAAAACTTAGGGAAAAACTGGCTCAAGAAAGATCCAAACGTTTACTACTTCCTATCATCAGACCGTTTTCTATCTGACACATTTATAGTGATGAAAACTATTAAAAAACATTCATTTTTCTGTGAAGATGAGTTATACGAAGACATAGACAAGAATTTTAAAACCAGATTCTATGCTGGTTCTCAGCCTATATATATTTATTGCAATGATAAACCTTTTTGCAAACTTTATCCAAATAGTGTTATTGAAATCAAAATGACTAGAAAAACTAATAGATTTAATAAAACTAGAAAAATAGATGAACTTAATAATAAAAAATTACGCGAGGAAGAACATAGGAGAAAGATGAGAATAAATCGTAAAAATCTTAGAGACTTCCCAACAAATAGTTCAAACTTTCCTGATAGGACTCGAACGAAAATAAATCGAGATATTCCCGACTTTCAGTTAGGTGGTGGTTTTGATAGTTTTGATAGAGAACAACTTAGACGCGTATTAAATTCTTAATGTATTTATTTATCGTCTTTATTCGGAAACCTAGGAACTCTTTATGTTCAATGATACACTGGAACGTATCAAGATCAACTGTTGAACGCCCATCTAATTTTTTTACTATTCGTAACCCCACGCGTTCCTCCTTACTTGGTAGCTTTACACGTATTGTTTTAGCATAGATTTTTTGTTTAATATTGTCTTTCAGTTTTTTTCGAATATCCTTTTGTACTCTTGCACATGTCATTATATTTTCCATCTGACCAGCTGTGAACTTTTTAACAGGGAAAAAAATCCGAAGGGTTTGATCTAGTTTGACGTTGTTTCGCTTCGATTTCATGTTTTTCTGCCTCTGCAATGAGTTTTTGCAAAGCTTTTCCGCGGTTTTCAACACTTTCGTTTTTTATTACTAACTGTTGTAGACGGTGAACTTGTTTTTTCAATTCGTGGTTATTATGTCTTTCATCTATATTAGACTCCAGCAGAAGCTGTTGATATGTAGCAAAAAGTTTGATCTTCAAATTATTTTTATGAGAACAGCTTTCTATAGATTTAATTTCGTTAGCGATATTTATTAATTCGTTAGCATAATAAGCACATGCCTGACTCATATTATTCAAATGCTCTGGAGTATAATTACAAACACCTTCGACAATGTCTAAACATTTTTCAACACCTCCTAGGATACTGATGGCCTGCTTTAGTCCTACATCTCTAAAATCCTCCTTCCGTTATAGGGTATAGTTCCAGTTTCACTACCCCTAACTGATTTTCCCACACCACTAAATGGTTTCTTTTTCTTTCTTATATGATCACTTGTTGTTTGAATATCATTCAACGTTCTTGTGTTACTCATTTATATAGCAAACCATACTATAAAAATAAAAATAATAAATTTTTTTGCTAAAGTCAACAGACAGGTGTTGAACTAATTTCCGACTTAAAGCTAGGTAAATATAATGGTGCTAAAAGATTTATTTTATTGGAGTTTCTTTCAATATTCGAAAGTTTATGTTCAGAGGCAATCTTTAGCTTAACTTCTGCATGAGGTTGAGGGGATGGGTTGTTCTTATTTGAACAGTATTTACTAACATCCATCTCTTTTGCTAACTCTTTTAATCCATCGTATAAAGTTGTTCTAGTAAAGTTATGTTGCAAAACCCATTTTCTCTTGTTAATTCTGAGAGGAGACTTGTCTTGGTCACTTATATACATTCTAGCCAGTACAACCTTTTGAGACATTTAAATAGTGTGAAAAAATAAGTAAAAGAGTATGTAAAAAACCATAAAAATATGTAAGATTGTGTTGGTATAGAAAAAATAAGTGTAAGATTATGTAACAAACTGTATAAATATGTAAGCTTGTGTTGGTATATGTAAGATTGTAAAACACTAAATCAAATCTACTACTGAATTCTACAATCCAATATTCAAGTAAATTACTCCCAAGTCTTTCTTTTTAATCTTTTTCTGTTTCACTAGTTCATCTAGAATGGCATTGATCTTATTATATTCCCCATTGTTACCAGCCTGAAATGAAGCAATGGATAGTCTCAAGGAGTCGATTAGAGAATTAGTATTCGATGGAATGAATGAAATAGAACTGCCTGATGTTGTTGTAGAAGTCTTTGCAACAAAATAGTTAGCTTTTATAAACGCCCACTTGTCACTTGAATCGGAATTATACCTTTTGCTACTTTTATCAAACCCCTGATACTAACCATTAGAGCATAATAATATTGTCTGGTAATTTTTTGTATA